ACATCTCCAGCAGGCAGAGAGGAGGTCTTTCTCGGCTCTGTGTTCCTATCATACTTAATGTCTTCAAGAAATATGATTTTAGGGGGCTGGAGAGATGGCTTAGTGGGGAAGAGCACTCGCTACTCTTCCAGAGGACCCGAGTTCAGTTCCTAGCACCCACAACAGTGACCTTACAATTGTCTGTAACTCCAGCTCCAGGGGATTCTATGCCTCTGGCCTCCATGGAGACCTGTACACATGTGCACACATCTACATCCAGACACATGCACATACCTACACATAATTTAAAAAATAATAAAAGTAAATCTTAAAAAAAGAAATTGTTGTTGTGGAATAATCTTTTTGAACAATGTGAAAATGTTTCACTTGGATTGGTGTAATAAAGAGCTGAAGGGCCAATAGCTAGGCAGGATTTGGGGGGCAGAGAAGATGCTGGGAAGAAAAAGGGTTGAGTTGTGTGGAAACAAGGAGGAAGCAGGAAAGCAGGATGGACGGTATGTAGATGAGGTAAACAAGCCTGGAGCAGCACATAGATGAATAGAAGTGGGTTAATTTAAACAGGCTTTGTAGCACTTTCCAGAACTATAAAAGCTAGCCAGTAGAAACATAAAATCATCAATAGTCTTGCGCAGCTGTGGACCCTATAAGCAACAATAATAGTCTGGTGAAATATGCCCATTGGTGCAATAACGGCATGAATATGATGGGTGTAACCAACAGCTTTCTGATTGTATCTAAGGCCTGCAGCACAGGATGGAACTCATGCCTGTACTGTTAACCTGGCCAAGAACCAACGGCTGGGGAGATCATAGACCCCAGGGGAGAACCTACTACTAATTTTACTAAATGGACATATCAAACTGCCATTACTATGGGTATAAGGATGCATGTCTGTTTCTTTATACCCATTGTTGTTTTTATTGATAAAGAATAATTAGATAAACGATTCACATTGGATCATTAGTGCAGCTCTCAGATCTCATCAGAGAATCTTCCCTCTGCAGCGAATGATGTTAACTCCGGAAACACAACTGTAGGGGTGAAATGCTCAGCCCTAAATCGTACATCCATGTCACGACCTCTTCCCTGCAAGGCTCTGGGAATGTCAAGGATATAAGAGCCAGCGGTCAGGGAGAGCTGCTGTAAAATGCTGTCTTCTACACAGGACAAAGCTGGTGCTCTCAGGAACTCACAGCAGCTGTGGCTGACTACACAAAATCAAGTCAGCCAAACTTCTGGCATGAAGGAGAAGAGGCTTGCAAAGGCCCACCCCTTACTGAGGAGCTGTTGGCAGTTGATGGTTGCTGGGTGTACCTAGCCCCTGGTAGGGATGCCCATGCTCCTAGATATCTCTACTCCCATGCATGAGTGGCACTAATTGGATTTAGTAGATTACTTTTTTCAAAGGACGTGGTGTTGAGATGGAATCAAGGCAAGGTCGGTCTGGGAGGTGCTGGGGGGGGATGGGAAAAAGTATGGTCTAAATACATGCATAAAATCTTCAAAGAATAAATTAAAACGTTTTAAAAAAAATTCTGTCATACTAATCACTGGAAACTTTGTGGAGACGCGTCCCAGCGGCTTAGTTTAGAGGGGACTCTGGGTTAGTGGCACAGGGATGTAGATTTGTCATTAGGTCTGCTTAGGGAATAAATAAGGCTCTGAAAATGACAAAAGTGAATTAATGTAGACCCTAAGAAACATGTTTTCAGTTACCTGTCTACATACTGTCCAATAAAATAATTAAAAGGCATTTTATATTTATTGTAACACATTATTCACAGCCTTCTGAACTAAGGGAGGTGTTATCTCATCTTACAGAAGATGAGAGAAGAGCCAGGAAGTGAACCCCTTCCTCTATAATAAGCTTTTAGATTTTGGAATCTTGTGTGCACAGGTGAGTAGCAGTGGGTGGAGGGACTAGACAGTGGTGATGTAAGAGGTGAAAAGAGCAATAAAAAGCTCCAGCTGCAGCCTGGAGGGAGTAGGGGTGAGACGGCCCGGCAGAAACCAGGACCGTAGACTTTGTGGTTTACGTCCTTAAAGCACAGCTTCCATCAGCCAGGCTTAGGCACCGTCCTTCATCCTGAAGGACAGCCCCTTGCCTCTGCGGGCTTTATCCTCACTTGTCTGAATTGTGCACAATCCTCAGAGGAGGTCTTCTAAGCCGAGAATTCTGGAATGAGATCCCAGGACTGTCCTCATAGGAACTAGTTATGGGATGAATGGGGCAAGGGGGAAGAGGGGAAGAGGAGACATCATGGGGGCATAGGTGTGGGATGCAGGACAAGGTGGGAAGCTGGCGGGGATGTACATGCAGATACAGACAAGAGCGAGACCATGACAGTCTTGTGTCCTGTGAGACGCTGAATGGACTATATATTGTAAGAAACGTGAAACCGTTGCAAAGGGTTAAATAAAACAGGGAATTTGAAGATTATTTTCAATGTGTACAAGTATTTTGGCCTGCATGAATGTATATATATCACCCGCATCCCTGGTGATAAGGCCAGAAGAGTGTCAGATCCCCTGGAACTGGAGTTACAGGTGGTTGTGAGCCATTGTGTGAGTGCTAAGAACTGGCTTGGGTCCTCTGGGAGAGCAGCCAGTGCTCTTAACTGTTGAGCCATCTCTCCAGCTCCATGGGAACTAATTTCTTTTTCAGAAGTTGAATGAAAGATGCTGAGACTTAGTGGAGTTGAGTGCCTTGTGTCCAGGTAAAAGGAGAGTCTGAGCTGGGAAAGAAGTATGCAAGAGAGGGATAGATTTGGGGAGAATATGGCTTATGGATTCATGTGCATACTGAGTAATCACCACGAGCCAGGCACTGGGCAAAAGCTCATGACTTACATTGTCATGAGTTCTAACACCACCATGAGGTATAACATTCTCTCCTTGTGAGCAGATGAAGCAGAAGCTTGGTAAACTCAAGTGATGACACACGCCATAGAAACTATGAAGCCAGGACTTGAGCCTTGATGATTTTACCATCATGCCTTGTGGTTGATGGTTAGGGAGATAGAGAAGCTTGTCACAGAAAACTGAGGAAGCATACCCACAACTATGACGGTTAGAGCTAATGTCAACTTGATAGGCTCTGGAATCACCTGGGAGATGGGATTCTGTGCATGCCTGTAAGGCACAGTCCTGATTGCTTTAATTGAGGTGGGCATCACTGTTTCCTGGCTGGGATGCTGAATTGTGTGAATGGAGAAAGGGAGTTGAGCAGCAACATGTGTTCATTCATATCTGCTTCCTGACTGGATTCTATGTGACCGCTGCCTTGACCTCCCCACACTGGTGGCTCTCCTTGATACATGAGCCAGAATAAACCCTGCTCCCTTAAGTGGCTCTTGTCAAAGCTTATCATAGCAACAGGAAACTAAAGACAATGACACAGAAGAACTAAGTCTGAGGAGAACAGATTTAATTATGGACCCTAGTTTGTGCAGCCAGAAAGAGCAAATCCAGAGGACCACAGAGAGAACACCAATATGTCTCTCTCTGAGACTAACTCCTCTGCTGGAGGATGTCTTTCTGTATGCTGTGAATATATATTGTTCCCATTGGTTAATAAATAAAGCTGCCTTGCCTAGCTAGAGGCAGGCGGGAAAATCCAAAGAGAGAAACAGGAAAGAGAAAGGCAGAGTCCGGAGAGACGCTAGCCACCACCAAAGGAGAAGCAACATGCCAATAGACCGGTAAGCCATGGAACACGTGGCAAAATATAGATGAATAGAAATGGGTTAATTTAAGATGTAAGCGCTAGCTAGCAAGAGGCCTGCCATAGACCGTGCAATTGGTAATTAATATTATGCCTCTGAATGATTATTTTATAAGTGGCTGCAGGTTGGGGGTGGGAGATGGGGAGGGGGCAGGCAGGACCCAAGAAACTTTTGACTACACTCCTCTTTCCCCTGAGCTCCACAATGAGCCCCAGATTGTGCTCTGCCTGCTGACTCCCTTTTCTGCTGCTGCTGAAGGTGAAGAGGTTCTCCTAAGAGCAAGCCCAAGGAGCTGGATGGGGTGATACACATCTGTGTTTCCAGCACTCAAGAGGCTGAGACAGGGGGATAACCAATTTGAAGCCAACGTGGGCTACATAGTGAGACCCATGTCACCAAATAAAACCCCCAAAATGTGCAAATGTGGAGAAGACTTGTAGGCTGAAAAGAAGAGGCTGAAAGGCCTGTGGGACAAGAGGGCTAGACCTAGCAGGTTCTTGGGAGCTAGCGTGTTGACTTTGATGAAGATCCAGACATTTGATAAAAAGCTGAGGAACTTGTTAGCCCTTTTCTCAGCAGGACAAGCTACCACAGACCAGCCAATACTAAGAATCTGATCTGGCCAGATGGTTCACATTCTCTCAAGTCCCAGGTAGTGCTCTCAGAGCCAACCTGCCAACCTTGAGGCTTCAGAGGCAGCATGCAGAGATTTCTAGCAGGGCTCTGACCTGATAGGCCCTGAGTCATAGGTGCAGAGTGTCGGCACAATCAGCTGGGAATTGATGAGGACTGTGGGAAGTCCTTGTGGAGGTTCTTTGCTCTCAGTCTGTCATTTCGGTGGGAAGTGCCCATGCACATGGCCCCCGGGGCTTATAAGTGGGATGAGACATTGGCGAACCCTTGATCAAAGGTAAACACTTTGTTCTTCAGCAACAAGATGGTTCTTTCCTTCCCACTTTGCTGAAAGCAAGACCAGTGGGCCAGAGCAGACATCAAAGAAGATCCAGGGACTTAGGGGTTTCTGCCCAGGAGGTTGGAACTAAGTGTTCTGAGGACACCAGAAAGCAGACCAGACAGCAGTGTATCTTTCCTCCTCCTACCCATCTAACCCACGTAGCACAGGGCTTCTTAAACCCAGGGGATGCTCCCTCCTTCCAGACTGGTCTTTATCCAGAAACCTTTTTAGCCTCGTCCCACCTCTAGGCTGTAAGTGGCCTTAGGCAAGGCACACCTCTGCCTCCTACTCTCCTGCCTGACTTCAGTTTCTTCCTGCAGAGCTATCCGAGACTGCCACTGCACTCTCTTCTCCGTTCCTTCTGCATTTACCCTAAGGGGTGCCTGGAAACAGGGAGCATCCAGCAGCATCTCTCACCCGAGGACCAGCTGTACCTCTGATTCTGTGCTCCAGCTCAAGGACCGGGTGAGACTGAGACTCAGTGGTGAACCATGGGAGAGAAGGGTTAGCTGTAGATGACTGGTCTGAGGGGTGGCCTTGAGCAGGTGTCTCTCTGGATTTGTAAGTGTCCCTGAGCAGTTCTTAGAGGATGAGGGAGGCCTATAGGGAAAGTTGGAGAATACTGGCAGCTCTGGGAAGGGTGGACAGTCTCTTTAGGCCGAATATGTCTCTAATTACCGTAACTTTGCCAGCAGAAGGCATGGCACGGGATGTGGTCTGGCTCCTTTTCCTCCAGCTCGTCTTACGGCCAACTCTGGTGATAGGCATCAACATGCAGACGGCCATCAAGAACTTCCGCACCTTACACATTGACTACCCCATGGTTAAATACCCGAAGGGTTTCCACGGGTACTGCAACGGCCTCATGGCCTACGTGAGGGGCAGATTACAGGACTGGTTCTGCCCTAAGGTCCACTATGTGGTACACGCCCCCTGGAAAGACATCCAAAAGTTCTGCAAATACAGCGAGAGCTTCTGCGAGAACTACAACGAATATTGCACCCTCACTCAGGACTCCTTCCCCATCACAGTCTGCACCCTGGACTCTAAACAGCCACCAACCAGCTGCAGCTACAACAGCACCCTGACCAACCAGAGGCTGTACTTGCTCTGCTCCAGCAAGCACGATGCTGAGCCAATAGGTATCATTGGCATCTACTAGGGACGTAGCTCGCAAACCAGTCCCACCTCATACAGGTCTCTACACGCCACCCCAAAGCCTGTTCCCAAACTCGGAATCTGGCTGCATGTCTTCCTGACTTCTGAGGCAGAGCCTCGCCCCCCTTCAGGGTCTTTTCACCTTCTCACCACCCCCACCCCGAGCCTCCCTCTCCCAGTGACAGTAAAACCCACCCAAGAAGCGGACGGTGTCCAGCTGGCAGAGCCTGTCTCTCCACTGGGCCAGATCCCGACGTCTGGATGGAGGCCCAGGTCCCAACTCACACCATAGCAACAGGCACCCAGTTCCAGTATTTCTCCCTATCCCTGTTTTTAGTGTCCATCTCCCACCCTTCCCTTATAATTCCTGCCACTCTTCAGCAAAAGGAACCTCCCTACGACCCTGAGACCCTTTTCGCCTCATATCCCCCTCTCAGTCCCCAGCCTGCACTTCTCTGTGATCCCCCCTTCTGTATACCCCACCCTTCCCCGACCTCCCTCACCGGGGAGCCTCGGGCTGTTTTCCCCTACGCTCAGACCACTCATAGCCTTGCTGCCTACCTTTCCCCAACCTCTGCCTTCCATACTTCTCTCATCGTGGCCCATCAGCATCTCAAGTTCTCTTCTCTGTTCTTCCCAAGGTCCCTTAGTCCCCCCTTTCCTCCCTCATCTCTACCCAACATTTCCCAGACTCCAGGGTCTGTGCCACTCAGGCGGCAGATGATGAGGCCGGCCCCATTTCCAGTCCTGTAAAGTGGAAGAACCGTGAGGGGAAAAACGGGCAAAAGGTTCGGGAACTCCTTTCTGTACTGACTTCTTGTGAATCTGTAACCATTTCCAAATAAGAAGTTTAAAAACGCATTCAACTCAATCGTGGTTTAATTCCCTTCCCTGCTTTTGGTGTCCGGGTGACCACCCATTTCTGACTATCCTTCAGAACTGCTCTTAGCAGCTGGAAGTGTCTTCTGTTCTGTGGGCATGACAATGGAGGTGGAGGAGGGTGGAGACCTTCAATCCCAGCAGGTGTCTCTGTAAGTTCAAGGCCAGCCTGATCCAGTGTTCCAGGCTTCCAAGACAGCCAGGGCTTCACAGTGAGACCCCATCTCAAAAACCAAACCAAACAAACAAACAAACAGAAAGATTTTCTTTCCTCAGCCAGAACATACATTTGTGATTTGTAACAGTGTTAGGCTCCCCTTTCTGGTTTTTTTTTATCTATCGCCCAACAAAACTTGGATTCTAACAGAGCAAGTTGGGAGACACATTGAAGGCTCTACTAAGAGATTATTTGGGTCATGGTATGTCAGATCAAGAACTATGACTCCCTTTGGGGAGGCAGAAGGAATGGAGGCCACTGATGTGTAAACACAGTAAGGAAATGTTTTTTCTTCTGCATCTGATTTAACTCTTACCTCCAAATGCATTACCCAGTCCTGTTTCTCAGGAGCAGTTGCCAGGGAGACGACTACGTTATGGTTAGTATGCATGAGGCTTAGCAGGGAAAGGGTCCATGGCTGAAAACCCTGGCTCCTTGGGCTTTCTCTTCTCCCTTTCTCTGTCTATGGACCAATCTGGTCCTCACATTCATGAGACAGAACTCACTAGATGCTGCACACACGAAGTTTATTATCTCCTAGGTTTCCCGGTGTTAAAAACACAGGGCCAGGGAACCAGCAGGTGAAGACGGCTCCTCTCTACTTGTTCTTTTGGTCATAGGTGCCGGCCCCCTTGTAGCCGCTCACATAGCCCGAGTTGTCCGCGGTCTCTTCCCGACCTTCGATGCCCTTCCCTTTGCCGCTCTCATCAAAGCGCTCCTTGTGGGTTCCAGTGTACTTACTGGTGTCTGTCAACCGGTCGACGCCACCCACGGTGGTTGCTTTCTGCAAGCCGGGGATGGGGTGGGGGCTGAGCCTTCCTCCTTTGCCTGCACTATCACAGCCCTTCCCCACATTCGGTCTTAGAGCCCTAAGGCACGTGCTGGGGAGTCTTAGAGCCCTAAGGCACGTGCTGGGGGTCTTAGAGCCCTAAGGCACGTGCTGGGGGTCTTAGAGCCCTAAGGCAGTGCTGGGGGTCTTAGAGCCCTAAGGCACGTGCTGGGGGGTCTTAGAGCCCTAAGGCACGTGCTGGGGGTCTTAGAGCCCTAAGGCACGTGCTGGGGGTCTTAGAGCCCTAAGGCACGTGCTGGGGGTCTTAGAGCCCTAAGGCACGTGCTGGGGGTCTTAGAGCCCTAAGGCACGTGCTGGGGGTCTTAGAGCCCTAAGGCACGTGCTGGGGGGTCTTAGAGCCCTAAGGCACGTGCTGGGGGTCTTAGAGCCCTAAGGCACGTGCTGGGGGTCTTAGAGCCCTAAGGCACGTGCTGGGGGGGTCTTAGAGCCCTAAGGCACGTGCTGGGGGTCTTAGAGCCCTAAGGCACGTGCTGGGGGGTCTTAGAGCCCTAAGGCACGTGCTGGGGGTCTTAGAGCCCTAAGGCACGTGCTGGGGGTCTTAGAGCCCTAAGGCACGTGCTGGGATCGCTTGCGCTGCCTCTGGCATGGCGCTGCTTCCTGAGGCCCAGACACAGCTGTGGGCAGGAACTCTGACAGAGCCATCGACTCCTGAAATAGGAGGGTTCTGCTGTGGGAAAGGACAGTGGATTTCTCCGTATCCAGAGGAGTTATTCTGATCAAGCTACTGCCAGAGGGCTTCAGTCCCAAGCCCTGCCTCCAATGTGCAGAGTCCAGAGCACTATTTGTACAGAGGAAACAATTTAGGAAGAAGTGGGGGGGAGAGGCAGGACGTCCGAGATTAAACCGTTAATGTATGGAGGAGGAGGAGGAGTCGGGGGAGCAGGCACCAAGTTCCTCCAGTGCTAATGCGCCTCCAAAGCCACGGAAGACTGAGGCGTCTAGACCAGGCATGAGACTTGAAAGCGAGTCTAAATCCCACTAGTGAAACAGCTATGCTGTGGCTAAGAGTGTAGCCAGTTGCACCTGGAGCAAGTCTGTCTTTCCATGCCCTAGTCCTCTCACCTCCAGAATGACTGCAAGGGTGCTAAAGTCTCCCAGTACAGGCTTTTCAGTCTGTCCCCTGAGTTAGACTGCTGACAGGACTTGGGGCCCTGAATCGGAGCAGGGACTGGAGCAGTAGAGGCTAGGGAAGTGGGGCTCCGGGCTGGAGATGAGGAATGCTATCCTTCAGGCAGGTGTGGCAGCACACACCTGAAATCCTAGCGCTTGGAAGGCTGAAGTACGAAGATCTTCAATCCAAAACTAGCCTGGGTCACACAGCCAGTTCCAGGCTAGTCTAAACTAATAGAGTAAGGTCCTGCTAGACAGAAAGATAGACAGACAAGAAGGGAGGGAGGGAGGGAGGGAGGGAGGGAGGGAGGGAGGGAAAAAGAGACAGGAAGGAAAAGATCAGACAAAAACGAAGTTCGTTACTCACAGTAACACCAGTGGTGGCAGGGTCCTTGCCTTCCATGAGTTTATAAACATTCTCCAAAGCCTCATCTAGGCTCTTCCCCTTGAAGCGCTTTTGGCCCAGCTCCTTCATCGCCTCTTGAAACTGTTGAAAGTTGATGGTTCTGGCATTCTTGGCCCTGGCCAGTCAGACAGAAATCCAGTAACCGTGGAGTGTGAAGTCACTGCCTCCCAACATCCACCTTTTTCTCAGTCAGGCATGGCCTCTTTAATCCTGCCAATGAATCTTAAGAATAGGGATCAGGACAGTGCCTGGCACCTGCCAGATGCTCCTTATGAATCTTCCATCATAAGAACTGTGCCATCTGGCTGGGCGGTGGTGGCACATGCCTTTAATTCCAGCACTGGGGAGACAGAGGCAGGTGGAACTCTGAGTTCAAGGCCAGCCTGGTCTACAGAGCAAGTTCCAGGACAGGCTCTAAAGCTACACAGAGAAACCCTGTCTTGAAAACCAACAACAACAACAAACCCCAAACAACAACAAAAAGAACTGGGCTGTGACCAACTACCTTTTCACCTCACCCCCCAGCTTTGGCCCCTTACTTCACTTTGCTGAACACAATGTCCACATCTGTGGAGGTCACCGCCTTGCCATCCATGATGCCGCAGTCTTTACAGAGTTTGGAGAAGTTCTTGTTGGTAATTTCGGTGCCACTGCTGGATGTGTCCCCAAAGACGGCAAACCGGTGGAACGTTTTCTCTGCTTCTGAGGCCATGGCCAACTGCACGTGGGGGTGGGGAGGACAGAGAGTAGAGGAGGGGACTGGGGGTGAGGGGTGGTACACTGCAGCAGCCCCAGGAACAACTGTCCTCTCCCCGCTGCTCTCCACTGTCACCCTCAGCTTTCCATCAGCGCACTGATGCAGCTCCGGCACGAGCCTTCCCTCCCCAGCCACCACTGTGGAGCCTACCGGCAAGCTTAAACTCCCGTGCATCAGTAATCCTCCCTCCCTGCCTCCCACTTTCGCATACCTGGGGGCCCAGGTGGTGTCTGCGATTTTTTGGATACAAGTGTGTGCAGCTATGTGGGAGCCAGATGACTGGGGAGAAGGTGTGGTAACAGGGAGACAAAAAAAGTGAGTGAAGACAGCAGAAAAGAAACACTATGATGTCACAGTGTAACGTGACATCACTTCTGCCTCTGCTGTCTTCCCTCCTGGCATCAGAAGCAGAGGTTGACACATCAATGTCCAGCCACGGCATTGAAATGAGCAAAAGCTTCAAGCTGTGTCATGGCTGTGGAGTCATGGCTGGCAAGACAGGACCTTTGAACTGAGCAAGCTGCCAGCCTGTTGGCATTTTCAGATGATCGAACTCCCCTGATCACTTCCGCCCAGTTTACTAATCTTATGGGCTCTGGCCTCACTATGCCCTCACGTGGTAGAATCCCCTTGGCCTATAAAGGCACTAATCTAGTTCCTGAAACCTCATCATGAGCACCTCAAGTCCCACTTCTTAATACCATCATGTTGGGAGGGAGGATTTTAGCATGTACACTATGGGGAGATCCAACCACTGAAGCATCTGGGATTGAGTTGAACACTGCCCTCCTGCCTGACCTCCCAGGTGTACTGACCAGCATGCACAATCCCTCTGGCTGTGGAAAAACAACCGCAGCAGGGAAAAAAGCAGAGGACCTGGAGTATAACAGGTCTATATAAAAGTAGTGTGAAATGTACCAGAGAGTAAGTCTCAAACTCTCAAAATCCCCCAGATAAGTTTCTGAGCACTCCCAAATGTCCCTTAATAGTTCTTTTCTGGACAAAAGCCCTGTAAGAGATGAGCTTCAGGGATCCCACTGCAGATTGGTTGCTTTCTTGTCTTAGATAATCAGGACCTAATTCCTTTAAACGGTTTGTAATCTTATAACTTCATTATTGTCAGCGGGGGTGGGGGGGTGGGGGTAGGGTGGGGTGAGTTGGCAGCGCACGCCTTTAATCCCAGCACTTGGGAAGTAGAGGCAGGTTAATCTCTGAGTTTGAGGCCATCCTGGTCTATAAAATAAACAAACAAATAAATAAAAAAATATTCCTTTCCATTCCTCTTCTTGCATCCTTATTCAAGTCTTTTTCAAAATCATTTTACGTGGGCTGGAGAGATGGCTCAGCGGTTAAGATCACTGGTTGTTCTTCCAGAGGTCCTGAGTTCAATTCCCAGCAACCACATGGTGGCTCACAACCATCTGTAATGAGACCTGGTGCCCTCTTCTGGCCTGCAAGCATGCATGTAGGCAGAACACTGTATACATAATAAATAAATAAATCTTAAAAAAAAAAAAAAAAAAAAAGAGCCAGGCGGTGGTGGCGCACGCCTTTAATCCCAGCACTCGGGAGGCAGAGCCAGGCGGATCTCTGCGAGTTCGAGGCCAGCCTGGACTATCAAGTGAGTTCCAGGAAAGGCGCAAAGCTACACAGAGAAACCCTGTCTCGAAAAACCAAAAAAAAAAAAAAAAGTCATTTTACGTGCCTGCATGTATGTATGTATGCATCAAGCGTGGGTCGTGCCCAGGGAGGCCAGAAGAAGATATCAGAAAGGCATCAGATACCCTAGAACTAAGTTTACAGACAGTCAAGAGCTGCCATGTGGGTGCTGGGAACTGAACTCAGGACCTCTGGAAGAGCTTCCAATGCTCTTAACCACTGAGCCATCTCTCCAGACAGATCCAAGTTTTTTTTTTTTTTTTGGTTTTTCGAGACAGGGTTTCTCTGTGTAGCTTTGCGCCTTTTCCTGGAACTCACTTGGTAGCCCAGGCTGGCCTCGAACTCACAGAGATCCGCCTGGCTCTGCCTCCCGAGTGCTGGGATTAAAGGCATGCGCCACCACTGCCCGGCCAGATCCAAGTCTTTTTATTTCACATCTTGAGGATTATCTGGGCCTCTTATCTGAGGCTTCCAAATGACCACTTTTCCAAATTCAATACTTTGCTCATTTCTACTCCACAAACTAGCTCTATTACCCTTTTCCCATTAGAGTAATGTTCCCCACACAGGATTTTCTATACACTATTCCTGCTCAAGAGCAGATTATGACACCTGAGTACAGTGACACATGCCTGTAATCACAGAACTCTGGAGGCCAAGGCAGGAAGATGAGTTCAAGGCCAGTCTTAGACACGTGGCTAGTTTGAGGACTACCTGATACCCTGTCTTGTAACACGAATCTTAAAAGGTCTTATAATAAAAAACCCAGAGCCAGATATGGGGGTGAAAGCTGAAAGATCAGAGAAACAGAACAAGCCAGCCACGTTCTTACCTCTACAAAATCCTCAGCTTCAAGAGCCTGAGTTCCTGTTTCCTCATACCTTATATACTTTCTGTATCCTGCCATATTACTTCCTGGGATTAAAGGCGTATGTCCTTCCCAAGCAAAGACATGAGATCTCAAGTGCTGGGATTAAAGGTAGGTGTATGCCACCATGCCTGGCTCTGTTCCCAGTGTGGCCTTGAACTCACAGAGATCCAGATGGAGCTCTGCCTCTGGAGCGATAGGATTAAGGGTGTGTGCCACCACTGCCTGACCTCTATGTCTAACCTAGTAGCTGGCTCTGTCCTCCAACCCCCAAGCAAGTTTATTAGGGTACACACTATATCACCACACTGTCTCACAGAACAACTATGCCATGACTCAAGGATAGTCAGGAGTGAAGAAATGTGTCAGTGGTTAAGAACTCATAATGCTCTTGCAGAGGACCTGGGTTAAATTCCCAGTACCCATATCAGGCAGCTAACAACTGCCAGTGATTCCAGCTCCAGAGAGACCTGATATCTCTTTCATGGGCATTGCACTCACGTGTATACACTCTCTCAGACACCTAAATAAAAATAAAACATCTTCTCCAAAAGGCATAATCTATGGTTCTTACTGCCAAATATTTTTGTCTAGCATTCAAGGAGGCAACTTGGCCCTAGTCTATCTCACCAAGTGTCATCCACCTCTCACTAACATTGCTCTTAGCTGGGGCCCCAATGGCATAACAGTTATGCACTCAAGAGGCTACCTGGTGGAAAGAGAATAGTCCCTGGAGGGGAATGAATCTGGTGGGGATTCACATCCTAGGTGTGTAATCAGCTGGTGGCCATGGGCAAGTCATGAATATTTCTGGGCTTCAGTTCCCACGTCTGTATAGTTAAGGACAACAACACAGCGTTGGGATCACACATACTACCACTCATGCTCTTCAGGGTAGCTCTTGCATTTCTGCCTATACTTTCTCTTCTGCTCTCTGCCTGGAGCAAATGGCCCTTTTCTCCCACTCAAATATCCTATTTCTCATCTGGGTGGTTCACCCTAGCAACAAAAACCCTTTCTTCTGAATTATAGAAACATATGGCTCTAGCCCTGTGGGCTCTAGCCTCCTGGGGTTGGGGATTTCAGAAGTACTGCTAGAGGCCCTGAAATCTTTTGGTACACACAAGATTAAGTGTGAACACTAAATAATACGCCTTGCAAAGGCACATATGATTGTCAGAGTACTGCAAAAAATTACTTTTAAGGATTTCTTAATTTCTAATTTGTTCTTTCTATATCAGGGGTTACTAAAATCATCCTGGGGAAATGAAAATCTCTTCTCTCCTAGTGGAGAGCAGTGGGGGCCTGCTGTAAGACTGGTTCTCTGTACACTGATCTTACAGACTATTTTCCCTAGCCTTTTCTTTCTTTTTTTTTTAAAATGATTTATTTATTTTTATTTTATATGCATTGATGTTTTGCCTGAATGTCTGTGTGAGGGTGTCAGATCTCCTGGAATTAGAACTACAGATAGTTGTGAGTTGCCATGTGGGTGCTGGGAATTGAACCTGGGTCCTCTAGAAGAGCAGTCAGTGCTCTTAACCACTGAGCCACCTCTCCAGCCATTTCTATATTTATATGCTTCCTTAATCACTGGATCACAAAACTGACCAAAGCATACCAGTTTTTAAAATTTCATCTCTCCAGTGGTTCCCATATTGCATGTGGTTGAAATTGTCACTCAGCTGAAAGCGTAGTTCCAAACTGCTTTTGGCCCAGATAATGTCCGTGTCGGGACACTTGCACTCAGGTCTGTCTTGAACCTACCCTGCTGGTAAAGAACAATGAGGCAGAACAGAACCAGCCTTCTTTGGGCCATCTGCCTAGAGACCCCTAGGTCTAGGGAGTGACAGATCTCAGTGGAAATTTCCCACCTTCTGCCCTCCCCAAGCCCCTGTGTCTGCCCCTTATCAGGTTCCCCCTGAGTCATCCTGACCCAGAGACGAATTTAGATGCTGGAACCTTCCAGTCTATCCCTCCCCCTCTCCAAGTACGTCTAAATTAGACACGTGAAAGAAACCTGCAGGCTGAAGTGCTCGGTCCAGCTTCTCCTGATCTCTACCTGCCACCAGGGCTGTCCAGTCATTTCTTATTTTGCGCATCTGGAGCTCTGATCTCTGTTCCAGCTTTCTCTTGTCCAGGAGAGCATTAAACCTGCACGCTGGGGCTAGGCAGAAAGCTAGTGCCGGGTTTCTGTGCCAGTTTCTAGGGCAATACTTATGAAGGGAGCAGGAGAAAAGAACAGATGAAAACTTGAGGCTCCATTTGGGGCATATAGGAAGCTCTTTAGGTCTAGGGTGTTTTTTTTGAAAGCTGGATTTGAGCCTACCCAGGTCTCCTCCTCCTCCCTCTTGGCCTCTCCTTCTTTCCAACAGACCTGCCAAGTGGGGATGAAAGGGGCATTGATGTTCCTTGGGGAGGGGGGTTGTGGGTGGTGAGGGTAGTTCCCAGGCAGGGGGGAGGGCAATTTTGGGGTCTTAGGGGGAGCAGTCTGTGCTGGTGTTGCAGTTGGCAGCTCCTGTTCCATTGGACATTGTTTTCAACTGGCCTGGCGCCCAGCCCCCGAAATGGCAAGTCTGGAACTAGGCTGAAGGGGGATGGGGTAGGGTTGATCCTGGGAGCAGGGGTGCGAGAACGAGGCCATGTGGGGAAATTCAATCTGGTTGCCCAACACAACTTTCAGTCTCCATAGCCGTCAACTATTCCACTCCAACAAGCCTTCCTTTAAAGAGCACAAGGGAGGATTGTCTCAGATGTGAATCCTGTGGAAGTCTAGGATAGGATGGTAAACGCACCTAGGCACGAGAGTCGGCCCAGGAGACAGTAGCTCAGGAGAGAGACATCTGCAACGGGGAACTACCACTCAGTCTTTCTGAGCAGATCTCGCCCTCCTTTTCGGGGTTGGACTGGGAGGGGTTAGCGCCTGGGCCACAGGGTCTCTTGGGTCTCAGCCCAGGACATCGAGTCCTCCCCAAACCCTTACTCCACCCCTGCAGGGTTAGCTCCGCCTCCGCGCCTGTTTACACAGGAGTCAGAGCCCTTGGGGGGTCCCCGGCCCCTCCCCTTCGCCCCTCCCTTCCCCCCTCCCGCGTTGGGGCCTTGACCCGGGAGTCGCCGTTGGCCATCATCTTCCCCCTCCTTCGTTCACCCTCTATTTATAGCGGCCCCCAGCATTTCCACACCCCCCCGCCCGCCCCTGCTTGTTGTCCAACTTCTCACAGAGCGGCCGGAGAGCAGGCGGCGGGACTCGGCTGAGGAGGTACCAGCACCCCATGCGCTCGGAATTCCTGCGCCCTCGACGCCCTGTCCCCAGACTCGCTGGCACCACTGCCCCTACCTGCCCGGAGACCGGGTCTGAGCGATGGCCCTCGCCCACCTCCCCCTTCCTTGACCTAGCTCTCTGCTTCCGGGCGGGCGGAGCTGAAATCGTGGGACGTGGGCACCTTGGGTCGGCCTCCCCCGCTCGATCCGTCGCCTCCACTCAATCTGGGGGGCTAGGAAGAGAGCCAAAAGTGAGCCTGGCAGAGCCAGGTCACAGTAGGGGGCGCCGCTGAGGTGGGCGTGGAGGTCATTCGGAGGCTTGTGGGGTCCCC